ATATTTTCGAATGATATATAATTGGCCTTGACCCAAAACAATTTTAATTTAATTGTTTTTTCCAGATTTATTTTTGAAGCTATTGTGCGAGTGCGGTTTCGTCCGATTTTCCAAAATCATTTCTCTACACGCATATGATTAATTTCTTTCAACGTTTAGAAGGTTCAAGATTATTTTTGCAACGTGAAAAACGAAAAAAATGCGGTAGAAACCATATGGTGATTGTTTGTTGCAAGATCTTGGTTTATACAGGTGAAATTCAGTAACAATGACTTCCGTTCAAAAAAGTTATTATTAATCAATGCATTCAATATATCCATAGGTCCAAACGTAAATTTCATCCAGACCAAATTGCGAGATGCATTGCATCAACATGCAATTTTAGGGGCTTATGAATTACAGTATATTTCCCATATACGATTAGAATTCCTATAAATTTTGCTTCATTGTTTTCTGCTTTTTATGAGTGCAATTCTGAATCGATTTGCTCACGGTAGTGTCAAGGACGTTTCTTGGAAGAAAATCGCAAATGAACTCCCATCAAAATACCTGTTATAATAAAAGGTTTATTTTGTCTCGGAAACTCTGTTGCTTGGGTGAGATACAGTTTTTCTATGATGATATCCTGCTGGAAAACTTCATCAATTTTTCGGCAATCTTTTGATTTGACCGTAAAAAAATTCGGACTCCAAGAAATTAATTTTGATTCCAAAAAAATCATAGTTTCTTTCAGTACTGTCGTAAAAAATTTAGGTCCTTGATGGAAGTGTTTGTACCAAAATTCACCTGCAGTAAACAATTCAACATGGTTTTTCATTACGCTATTTTTACTTTTACAGCATAAACTGAGAAAATTTGTCCGCCTAAACCGAAAAAAATATGTTTAGTGCTTCAGTCCGCGTGATCGTGAAAACCCTAGTTCTGTTTATCAATTATTTCGATCGAATCGATGCTGCGAACATCAGCGAATCCGTCGATGGTTCCATCGAACGTTTTTATCTCGAACCTGACCCGACTCAACTCAAGACCTTCCGAATTCTTCTGAGTCCGATTGAAATCGAAAAGCGACAAGCGAAAGATTTCCTGGACCGGATGGAAATCAAACACAACCACGTTTGCCACGTGAACAGCGCTGCTCAGTTCGAATATCAGTCCAACATCACCGAGGAATCGGAAGCCAAAGCTGTGAGTGAAAACATTAATGATTGACGGAAAATAGCACAGCGTAGTTGAATGATTTGGTTGGGACATGAATCAAAGTTTGTGGGCAATTTACCAATTCTTTACACTCTTATGAGTATGTATAGATGATACATCATGAACTTTGCTGCGGCCCTCGTTTTGAAAACATTTCCTTGATACTCGATTGAACTACAAAACTTTTTAATTTTTTTTTTGTTCTCATTTCATGACATGTGTCCAAGATCCTTAGATCTTTGACAAAGAATTTAAAATGAAATGAAAAAAAATGCATGATAGGCCGTTTGCGGCTGAGACCAAGTCTCCAGGAACTGTTGTAATTTCAAACTTCACAGGTTTTAATAATTGGTTTTCAATTTCAGGTATTCAACACCTTTCAAAACAAACAGCACAAAGTCAAAAGCAAAGTGAAGTCTTGCTGTTTGTTTTGAAAGGTGTTGAATACCTGAAATTGAAAACCAATTATTAAAACCTGTGAAGTTTGAAATTACAACAGTTCCTGGAGACTTGGTCTTGGCCGCAAATAGCCTATTCTGCATTTTGTTAATTTCATTTTGAATTCTTTGTCAAAGATCTAAGGATCTCTGACAACATGTAAGTATTGTTGGGACACATAAGCGTAAGATTTCCATTGTCTAGAAACAGATCAGCATTATCTTAAACTTCATATTTTTTAGCCATGCAATGGATAGTATAACATATTATAGAAAATATGAGGTTGATGAAGTTCCAGGTGGACAAGTTTTAGACGCTAAAAAACATTTGCTTAAGAATGGTCATGTCCCAAAGCGGCGCAGCTGCTGCATCCAGCTGCAACCAGCTCAGAAACCTTGTTGCATCTCAAGGCCAGTGAGCATTGCCAAAATCCTGTTTTTGCAAAACTCCCTGAGCCTCACCAAAGGCCAAGAAGTGGTCATCACTTCCTCAATTTTCAAAAAATTGATCACTCCTGAGCCAGAAACCACCTGATTTCTTCCTGACCCAGCCTGAGCACCTGGGTATAAAAGCATTCATTCCTCTTTGCAAGGAGAAAAAGAAATCTTGTGTTGAAGCGCCCTTTAATTTAAATTACCTTATTCATTCCTCTGAGCTAAACCACCAATCTTACAATTGATTCTGCCATTCTAAACAAGCATGTAATTAACAGCCAAATGATGATCTGGGCAATGAGAATGAACTCCTCTGAAAAGACATGAGTTCTTATTCAAAACTTGCATTCTGATGGCTGCACAATTCAATTTCTTTGTCTGGGATCTAATGGACCCATGACAAGAACCGTGCTTGTCTCTGAAGGTATTTTTCTTTTACTAGACAAATAAATTTTAAAAATGCAAAAAATATAAAAGGCCAGTTTCAAATTTGTCCATCAAACTCCTTTCATACAGGGAAAGCTCTCTTTTTAATTGATGAGGCATCAGAGTATATTTAAAAAGTCCATACTCAATAAAGATGTAAAAAGAAAGGCAAAAAGTGGCCAAAAAAATTTTGAATTCTTCATTGCAAGGAGCACATTTGGTAAGGGTAATTCCTGAAGCGCGTATAATCAATATGGGGGATATTGTTTAGAAGTTTTGAAAGATGTTGAAATACATTCAACAGAGTATGAACAATTTCAAATTTTTGTCATTGATCATGTAACTGCATTATTTGGCAACACTTCAGTGCTGTTCAACGTGGCTTCCACCAATATCAATGCACTGTTTCACGCAATCAATCCATTGATCAAAACAGCGCCAAAAATTGATAATTTCATTAGTTGATGAGGCTGCTCATTGACAACAGAAAGGAGGCTGTCCCTGTCATCAAAATCAATTTTTAGGTGGTTCTTCACTGTTGGGAACAGCCAGAAGTATCACAGTATTCTTTTTGTCAATTAATTTTTTCCAACATTCTGTTGTTGAATTTTTCTGAAAAAAAAGGATTGCACACTGTGACTTCTTGCTGTTCCCAATGGTGAATAACCACCTGAAAAAAGATTGATTTTGATGACAGCAACAGCCTCGTTTCTATTGTCAAAGCGCAGCTGCTTGATCAACTAACTTCCCTATCAATTTTTGGCAAGCTCTTTTGATCATTGGATTTATTTCAAGAAAAAATGAATGGAAATCTGCGGAGACTGCGTTGGACAGCACTCAAGTGTTGCCAAATGAAATTGGCCTATGCAAGTAATAATAACAATTTGGAACTGCTGCTGAAACTCTGCTGGATCTATTTAGAATATTCTCAAAACTCATGAACCAACCCTTCGTTTTTTCATGATTTTGATTCCAAAAATGAATTTAATCCGTAACAGAATGCAGCTGGTCTGGAGTACAACGAGAAAAGCGCGTTTTTCAACACGTGTCAAAAGCAAGCTTTCGGCGAAAACGGGCCTTTCCCGAATTGGAAGAGGTTCAGCCCTTCGGTTCGAGGACTGATCCAGGCGGACATACGGAAAAATCGGACAGACGTTGGTTCAAGAATGAATGACACTGTAAGCATTGATTTTATTTGCTGCTTAAATGAGCCACTGCATTTACAAAAACTATTAGAAAGTGCTAGGAATGACACTGAAAAAAAATTTATTCTGTCAAACTGGGTTCGCCATCAACGCAAACATTGCTGACATCAACGCAATTTTGAGCCATACTTTCGTGAAATTACTCCATGGGCTAGGGGAAATAATGGTAAATTAATGAAAAAAAAATTGGTCAATATGAACAAAGCCGTTCTCATACAAATTTTAAAAAAGGAGGAAGAGAGACATGGAGCTCCAGTAGCGTAAAATATTAAAATTGACACTAATAAAATGCCCACATTTCGATCAAACATTTGCCCACATTTTGCTGCTTCACTTAATTTGGTTTGGAAATCAAACAATTTTGCGCTTAATTTTAATTGCCGTAAACTTGTGTCACTTATGTAAAATTTCGTTTGAATACGTTATGCTGATAATGGGCCGCATAATTTTTTCCCGTGATTCTTTTGAAATTTTTTTTCACGTTGCTTTTCGTGTCCCCATGTATCTTACAGCAGTAGAAAATTCTTAAAAAATAAGGTGTACGTGTAGATGCTATAATAAGAACTCCGTTTATAATTTTTTTCACATTTTCATTTCTCCGTAGGATGCTTGAAAACAAAAGTTTACTTTTGAAACCTATTGTGGGAAGGTAAAATTAGCTTTCCAAATGTCAAGGTGCTACTTCATATTTTTGCCGGCACTCGAAATGATTTCCTAATGAAAAAAAGTTGTGCATGAAAAAAAACTTGTAAAAATGTCCCATAAAAATTCCGATAAAGGAGAAAAAAATATATTTTGGAGCCCCAGTAATTTAAAATATTAAAATTGATAAAATGTGGGGCTGCGTCACATGATATGTTTTGGAAATCAGCTCATTTTTTGGTTAATTGTCAGTGCTATAAGCAAAATATGCTGTAAAAGCAAAATAATAAGCAATACATTCAGATGCGAACTGAAAAATAAACTGTGAGAGTTTTGAAAATTGAATCATTTCTTTTTTTCTTCAACAGTTGCGAGGAGGCACTTCTGAAATGTCAAAGATATATTCAACTGCCACCATTTGCTTGCCAGATGGTAAATGCGGACTGCATCTAGACCCTGGTATAGCTCGAAATATATTCACACGACCTCCTTATTCAATTTTGATTCATGTTGAAACTGATGACTCTTCCAGAGATAACTGAGCTGACGGCCACATCGAGAAACTACGAGTTGCTGCAACATATTTGGGTCGCTTGGCGAGACGCGACCGGCCGGAAAATGAGGCAACTTTACACAAATTACCTGACGAGTGTGAACGACACTGCGAAAAAGGAGGGTGAATTTACACGAGCAATCTACTGTATTCCAAATTTAGCATATAATTTGCGAAAACGATTTTGATTTCAACGCAGGATTCGCAAATGCAGCCGAGTACACCTGCCTAAGCATGTTGCAATCGCTAAAAGTGAGCCTATAGCTGTTCCAAACCGTTCTTGAGCGAGGCGACATGTTTTTTAACGTGCGAAAACAGTCTGATTTTGAGCACCTGCACATACCTGACAAAATTGACAAGAAAGGACCGATTCCAGCGCATATCACAGGTGATCTATAAAAAAAATACTCCTTGTTCAACGTCGTGAACAGGGCATTTTCGGGGGATTGAAATGGAAAACTGTTCATTTTTGAACCAAATGACAAAAAGCGGGATTCAAGAGCAAAACTGAGAATTTGTTCCGTTCACTGGCAACACGAATGGCGGATACTTTCTCAAGTTTTAAACACATCAAGATCGATATTTTGCAGAAGATGACATTGTTGGCAAACGTCCATTCTTTGACTTCTTCGTCAGAAATATACAGTAGTCATTAAAATATTTGCGTTATATTGCCTTCCATTCTTTTTAAACGTTATGGATTTGTTTCTAATTTTCATGATAATCACTGTCATATCGAATTGAATATAAAAGCAATCGTCATCGAAAATACTACGGCCTTGTAAACATAGAAGAAATTCAGGAGTGATTCAAATAAGAAAGTTTTGTCGTTTTTGTCGGCCATGGTATAAAAGCATTGGAATGTTTTTTTAAAAGCCGATAAAGTTAGTTCTCGAATTCAGTGTGAATGATATACAGCACACGGTATGTGAAAAATGATTGAACAATTCAAAATCCGGAAGAAAGCTCCATATTTTTTTAAAAACTTCGATTTCACTTCGAAAAAGGGGAAAAAACGTTCAAAATATTTCTTTCTGTACATGGAAATTGAGCAAAATGGTTTCCGATGCCATATTTTAATATCACGATTAACATAAATGATTTGAACGATCGTTTGTTGTCATGAAGAGTTCACTTCCGAGCCAGCTTACCTTAAAATCCAGCTGGAATTTATTTGGGACTTATCTTCCCGTAAAAATGTATATTTGGATTGGCAATTTATCGCCGGTTTTTCATTGCGTACCTTTGCGGACTGGCTTTGTTTTTCTTCCAGGAAATCCGTGGGCTCAAGCATGGAATTATCTGGAAGACATTGTGCAGCCTTTCAAAGGACTGCCTCACATAGATGTCACCGAGTCACTCAACAATCAGGTGCCATTATAAGGATAAAGATCAGAATTTCTGGTAATATGATCCCGTTCATAGAAAAAATCGAAAATAATTGCTCACAAATCGTTGCTCTCTATATTAACTTGGAACGGTATTCAGTGTTTTTCAAATAATTGTTTTTCCAGGGATACACGGTTCTCAAAATGTTCCGAACAGCGGAGGAGTTTTTCACGTCGATTGGTTTGATGCCGATGACGTCGACGTTCTGGAATAAAAGCGTCCTTGTTCGTCCACCGGGTGTCGAGATGGTTTGTCACGCGTCAGCTTGGGACATGTGCTCTGCTGAAAAAGACGACTTCAGGTTTGTTAGTTAAGAGGCAAAAAAGGTCTTTATCGCAAGCATGAAATTTAAGAGAGTTTGTTGATCAGTTTTGATACTTTTTGAATCCCATGGAGTTTTAAAAATTCCGAAACTTTTTATTTTTTCTCACGTATCATTTGGCAACACTTCAACATGCTCTCCGCCGATTTCGATGCGTTATTCTTCATGCAATGAATTCAACCATCACAAAATGAGCCAAAAATTGAGTTATTTGATTAGGCACCCTCTGACTTCTATCTGTTCCCAACAGTGAAGAACAACTTGATATTAATTGATTTTGAGGAAAGAGACAGCCACATTTCCACCATCAAAGAACAGGTTAATCAATTTCAACAGAATTCAATTTTGCCACTATTGTATTATGATGGTTTATGGCATGAAAATTGGTTTAGAGTATGTTGAACAGCACTGAAGTGTTGCCAAATGATGTGGCTATGCGTGTATAGTAATTTATTTTGGAATTGTGAAAACTCCATTGGCTTTATTTAAAAACTCTCAAAACGTATGAAAAAACCCTTGTATGTCGATATCAATAATTGTAAATTTTTTCAAAGAAGGAATTTTATAAAATTAGGAGGAATTAAAAATTCAACATTAAAAAATCCCAAATATTTGGCGGAAAACAGGAAAAAATTAGCCTTTTCACAATTCTGCAAGTAAGAGCGCATGCCATAATTTCTGATGACGATCTCGCCTCTTTTTCAGGCCAAAAACACAAAGCTAGAAAAATCCGGGGAGATTTTATTTATTTTATTGTGCTGAAAACTGTCCATGAGTTTCAATTTTATGCGCCATCAGCTAGTGTTGCCTGCAACCACCTTTCAGTATACTGCTTAATACCGTTTTGCAGGATCAAAATGTGCACTCAAAAGAACCACGAAGACTTCCTCACGGCGCATCATGAAATGGGTCACGTTCAATATTACATGCAATACCGACACCAGCCGCGCCAATTTCGTGGGGGTGCAAATCCTGGTGAGTACTGAAGACAGCAACAGAGCATTATTTTTGTTGCAAAACCTGATTACATTTTGTGATTAAAAATGCCCGAATGACCAGGTTTTCACGAAGCAGTCGGGGATACATTGTCGCTGTCTGTGTCAACAATGAAGCACTTGAAAAAAGTCGGTTTATTGACAGAAGCTCACAAACGCCTTCTTCTATCTAAGGAAGACGAGTTGGACATAAACTACTTGATGAAAGTTGCTCTGGACAAGATTGCCTTTCTTCCTTTTGGATATATTGTTGACAAATGGAGATGGTGAGATTTCATCGTTGGCAGCATGTAAATGACTGAATCTTCATGGTTTTGTGGATTCATTGATTGAGCACCCAAGCTTTATTTGCTGCTTGTCAGCATTCACAAGGTTCAAAGAAACCCCCTCCCCAAATATCCATTTGACACATTCCAGCATAGATATGAAAATATAATTTTTTGATATGGTCTGTTGTCCTCTTTGCTAAAGAAGCTCTTCTGGAAACTCTACAGAAATATAACTGCTCTAGAGAGAACTGAGTTGAGTGTGTGTCTCCAAGTACAGTCCAACTGTGATAAGTCAAACCTCCCTAATTCAAATCTTTCCACAGTCCCCTTCCAAATTCAATAGGAAATAAGTTTCCAAGAAACTCTTTAACTTGAAACAGTTCAATGGGAAACCTCCCCAAGTCAAATTGTTTGAACACAAGGAAGGACCATAAAATTTTTCTTGCAGGCATTTTTGGGGGGAAGAGACCTTCTTTGATTTGATCCCAAACAAAAGAGTTTCCAGCTACTCAATGAATAGAGGAGGGATCCAGGAATATCTGGTTATTGCATGCTAAAATTCTGAAGGCCAAGGGATTCTGCTATGAGGTCTAAATACTGGGCAGTATCCACAGTGGAGAGAATTTGGTTTGGTACTTTGTAACATCCCCAGGCTAATGGTTCCTTGGCCAAGGGAGTGGTTAGTTTTGCATGAAAAGTAAAGCATAATTCTACCAAGAGGAAATTTTAGTCATTACCAACTACAATATACAAACACTTTCTGTATAGCCCTTTTAAGCTAATGTGTTTCTGCTATGCTTGGCTGCACCTGGTGTGCTAGCAATTCTACTTCACAATTCCATTGTTTGCTGAATTTGTTCCACCTGTGCTCACACTTCCTTCTTTTTAAAGAAACAAAGTATGATGCCCTCAATCCAAATTGGTTCCTATGAGTGTTTCTTGACCTTGGCCAACCAAGGCTATATTTACAGGTGAATTTTATGTTGAGTTCAGTTTACCGCACCTAGACTCTGACCAGACACCTTGTTGACCTTACTTCATTCCTCAACAATTGTATTGTATCTATTGTGTGAAGGATAAATAAATAATACTTTGAGATACTCTCACGGAGTAACTTTTGCATTTCCTTCAGAAGTTGCAGAAAATGGTTTAAATATCTGACCCTCATCCATAACTAATATAAGCAACTTAAAGTACAATGGTGTCCAATCAGCACAGTCTCTTTATTTGTCTCATTAGTTTTGGACAAAAAAATCTTGAATTTTTAGGGGAAATACACTCAAGTTCACAAAATATCTGACTCTCAATTTCAAAAGCTTGGAGCTTTCATGCCATAATGGGCTGGAGAATCATAGCCATTGCAATGTTCCTGCTAGCCCTGAATAACAATTTAACATAAATAATTATTGATTAAGATGTTGAACATGGCTTACTGCTTGTTGAGGAATTAATCCACCCAACATAAAGAATTGAACCATAGTGCAGTGCTGGAAGAAAAGGTGGGAAATAACAAGGCAGGGCAATCAGCCGGTTTGCAGCTGGGAATATGTAATTAAGGGGGTACCTTAATTACATATCCCTAGTTTTGTCTGGTTTAATCACAGTCCACAATAAATCAAAATCAAACACAATACAAAAATAATGCATCACAATAAATGCAGTAGTGCAAAACATGTCCAATAAAAACAATACATTTGTGCATACAAATTCAGGGTGCAATAATGCAATGCAACAATTCAATCAGAAGAATTGGGGTTGGAATTGTTATAGGGAAGTTTACTGTAAGAGCTAATTTTAAGGACTGATTATTGGGAGTGGAAGAGTGCTGGGTTTTTATAAAATTTACCACAATGCTTCTGTCAGCTGACCTGACCAAAGCATTGGACATTTTTCTTTGCCTGTGATTGGCTGGATAAATGTGCATCAAAGAAGTTGTGCATCCAGGGAATGGATGCACAAAGGAAAAAGGAACCAGAATCCAGGTCCTGGAACTTGACATCCCTGGGCCCAAGTTCTTGTTCCCCAAAACTGCTTCCCATTGAACAACCAACCTGATGTAAAGAATTTACCAAAGGTCTATCCAAAAATTCACAGAAGAAAAAAGTTGGATACCACTTGCTGCAATTGAATCATTTGCCTAATCCATTAACATCAGGAAAATTTATAAACTATAATCAAGATCCAAAAATCAAGCACCCAATGCTGCATGTGTTTATGAACTAATAAAATAAGTGCCAATCATAAAATATTTTTCCTTATATATTGTACTAAAAGAAATAATTGCCCCAGTATTTTCAGAGGACAATGAAGGAAATGGAAAATTACTAAGTCAAAATGGCCCATTATCCTATTGAGTAAAATTAATGCTTCAAAGTTTTGAAATAAATAAAATGTCAAAATGTTTGGAAACTAACTACAGTCGAACCTTGCTAAGTAAAAACTCCCAAAGTCAAATACCTCCATCACTTGAATTTTTTCCGAGTCCCTGTCTGGATTCCCTTAGAAACAATGCATTGAAAACCTCCCTAACTCAAACTTTTTTTATCAAACCTCTGAAAGTCTAATTTTCTTAGCCCTTTAGATTATTATTTCCTTGAAATATGAAAGAGAAAATCAATAATTTGAATGATTTTGGGCATCTTGAATTGAAGTGAAAGACTAATTTAACAAATGGACCCCTGCATCCAAATTCAGGAAGCTATAAACTTATTACAAAATAAGTTTCAGCCCAGAATATTCTCATCTACAGTTTGCCACAATATTTTTACCTTTCCTCACAAGAAAATTGTTTGTTTCCTTTACTCAAAATCTCAAAAAATCATAACCTCTCTGTCAAAACCTCCCAAAGTCAAATTTTTTTCCTAGTCCCTAGAAGTTTGACTTGGAGAGGTTCAACTGTACTATTTGTTTTGCTGATTATGGATAATGACAAACAAGATGAGCAGACAACTGAGTAATTCCACAACTTCTGTTTGGGGGGGGGGGGGAGTGGGAGGTGAGGGGAAGACAAATTGCTCAAATTTAATTAGCTTGTATAATGAAATCAACATCAAAACACCCTATAAGTTATACAATTAGATAAAGATGCGTTTTTCTGCTAAATCTCATGAACAGCAGGAAGATCAACATCAGAAACCATCTGTGACACAGGAATGTTAGCAAAAAGATGGCAAAATATAGTCAAAATTCTGTATAAATACAATCAGAAATACCTGCTCTATAGAAAGGCTTGCCAACCCTCCATATCTTTTGGAATTGGAAACTTCTTTATGGCCTCAAATTTAACTGGGTTAACTGGATCTTTTTGTTGATTATGAAAAATACAAAATGCTATATTTGAGCATTTAACAATTGATGTTTTGAAAATTTTACTTCTACTCCTGCCTTGTCTAGACCAAGAGAAAATATGTTCATGACACTTTAAATGAGTTTCTGCATCATGTGAATCTACAAAAATATCATCAATGTATAAAAACACTTAAGTAGCAAGACATCCACCCAAAACTGAATGTATCATTTGGTAAAAGATTAAGGGGTATTTTTTCAATCCCATGTGCAAAGAAATGAATTTGTAATAGCACATGGGCATGGAAAGTGTAGTTTTATCCCTCTCTTCTGCCCTTCTATTTTGATATTGTAAGAACTGAAGTGAACTGAAGATATAAATTACTTTGAACTTCATAATTCCTCAATAATCTGACTCATTCTTGGCTACTGGTGAAGATCAGTGATCACATGGTTGTTTATCACCAAGAATATCACCTTTCAAAAATTCCTGCCATTATTTTGTTTCTGAGAACAAAAAAAGCTGGATTCATCAACAAAAAGATCCAGTTAACCCAGTTAAATTTGAGGCCATAAAGAAGTTTCCAATTCCAAAAGATATGGAGGGTTGGCAAGCCTTTCTATAGAGCAGGTATTTCTGATTGTATTCAAACCTCTTCAGCTCCAAACCTCTTCAGCTCCAAACCTCCTTAGCTTCAATCCTGTTTATCTCCAAACCTCTTGATCAGGGGCTTGATTGGCCCTTATACCAAGTTTGGATGTGCTTTGAAAATATTTTAGGCACCCTATGCAATTTACCCCTTCTTGGTTATCTCAAGCAAGGAATTTCCTTTTGCAGTTTCTTTTTTCAAACAACAGCTATTTTTCCCAGGAGTATGCTCAACCTCAAATTCATCCAGCTATTTCAACCAGGCTCTTATATCTCAACCTCTGCATTTGCAGATAGTTTTACAAGCTTTCTTTCAACCTTCATCTATTTTCCAGGCTAATATCTCAACCTCCAATCCAAACTCTTGCAATTGCTTTCAATTATTTTCCCCAGACTAATACTTCAACCTCCTCTCTTCTTGAAAATCAGGCTCAACAGGAAAAGCTGATATATTTTTGCCATGATATCAGTCGACTCTTAGCTTTTAATTCTCTTCAGGATTAGCAGACACTTTGCTTTTCTCAGACTTAACAAGCAACCTCAAACAGGAAGACACCAGGAAAATAGACAACCTTCTCAACTTTCTCTTGCTTTTTAGCCCAGCTCAAGCAAAAACCAATTCATAGAGATAGAAACCTCCAACTTCCTCATTTTCTTGCAATTTACTAAAAATTTCAAAGTCTTTTGAGGTAAATTCTTGATAGGATATTTCCCAGAAATATTCTTAAATCTTGTACTCACTCAACATCAAAACTCCTTGGGAAATTTCTAGAGTCTGCTGTTGGTTGCTGCAGGAACTGAGGCAATTCTTCTTTGCTGGTCAATTCCTTCAGGAGTATATTTGAGCAGTGTTTTTTATTTTGACTGTTTCCAAATTTGCACAAAATCACATGGAGTGAGGGCTTTAACATCAACATTTGACACTTTTTCTTTCTGCTGAATTTATCTTTTCTTCAAAAACCTTGAGTCAGTTTATTATGGGTGATTCACCCCCCCCCCCCCACATGAAAAGAAATGTCAAAAATATCCAACTGCACCAATTTTGTTGTCCTCTCTGCTAGAGAAGCTGTCCTGAAAACCCTGAAGAAATACAACTGCTTTAGAGAGAACTGAGTGGATTGTGTGGCTCTAAGTACCTTAATTGAATTGAATTGAATTGAAAAGCAAGCTTCATTTTCCACTTTTCAGCATTCACAAGGTTCAAAACAATTTCCCCACATGCAAACCCCCTCCCCTCTCCACCAACATTCATCAAAACACATTCTTCCCATCAGAATGGAAAATAGAGAAACGAGATGTACATGGTATCAAAAGAAAAGAAAATACATCCAAAAAGTGCAACTGCGCAACTGATATAAATATGTACACTTTCTTTCCCTCCCTGTTCACAAAAACAAATATCAATAATAGGAATAGCAGCATAAAGCAATTACTAAACCCCAATTAAAGCACAAGGTGTTCAATAAACCTGCTCTCATCAGATAAGGTTTAGTTGATTGAACCATTTGGAGAGAATCTTTCATGAGAAATCATATAAGATTGACAGATTATCTTGAGCCTCTAAGATTTTGAAAAGAGTCTTTTCTCTGAATATCAAGTGTCCCAAATCTTTTTAAAACTCATTTCTGTCACTGTGATGGAATGCTGGGCATAAGAAAAAAAAGGTGCTCTGGTGATACATCAACCAATGTATTTATCCTGCAGAAATGATACGACTTTGACAGCTTTGAATATTTGATGATTTAAAAAAATCAAAATTCCATGTGTTTGTGAAGTACCTTTATTTACACAACATACATTGGGATGTACCAATACAACATTGAACACAACACAACAGAACACTAAACAATATAAATCTTCAAGTATCACAATGTTGGGAACTCTTTCTGATACCAGAATACACTTCTCTTTCATAACTCCAGGTTAAACCAGCTTGCAGTTACTTGGGCAGACTCTGGCATGAGAATGATACTGAATATGACTTTGCCAGAGTTCTGCTTATATGCAAGAACCAGAGGGGTTCAAATGATATTATCCATGCAAGTTCATACTTGCATGACCTGGCAGTTTTCCAGGTTAAAGCATTGATGATTCACACATAACCAAAAAGAGGTGGAAACAAACATTACTCTGTCTCCAGAAAAGAGGGAAGACTAAATTTTCGTTCAACATTTCCTGTGCAGGGAGTGTCAATCAAAGGAAGGGTGAAAACTCCATCAGATACTTTTCAGCACAAGGGTGAATGAAACAGATTACTACTCTAGTACTCTAGAATCATCTACTCTATGTGCATATATCTCACTTTCAGAAATTTCATTTCTTGGAGAATGATGATCTTTCAATTTTTTCTTTCTATGGAAAAATCTTCTCTCTTTTAGAAAAGGGAAAAACAGTGGGTAATGGAAGACAGTTGATTTTGCTATATTGATTCAAGAGACAGCATGAAGTGTGCTTTCTCGTGAGTGAGGCAAAACAGGGGTTTACCCTTTCTAGGATAACAGGGCACTCAAAGAAATTACATCACAATATGCATTTGTGCACATGCATGCATGAATAATGAATTGTCATCAATTTTCCTATGAATGCCAAAAAATCATAGCACAAAGCAATTACTGATGACAAATTGGAGAAAATGTGTTCAGCCTGTTCCCATATACTTTTTAGTTGATTGAAAATTTTGGAAAGATTTTTTCAGGAGATATCATAAATAAGCAAATGCTGTATCCAGGTTTTCTAAGATTTTGGAGCTCAAGTTTTGTTAAGTTGAAAGAATCATCTTTTTTAAATTTCAATCCTTCAGTTGTGAACTGCTTTACATATGAGAACTTGTTCTGGTGGGGCTGTAACAAATGAAGATTAATTAAATATGAGAAGAAAGCAAGCAATGTTTGTATGTAGTTTGATTTTCCTGCTGCACTTTTGATGAAAAGCTGGCAGTGGAGAAAGCCAGACATTTTAAGAAATATCAGGCCAGACTCTGCTCACAACTTCTTCATTAAAAAACCAAATTCTGAGCATTCCAGAATGGGTGGGGGAACCTTCCAATGCTGTAACTTGAAATTTTCTGATGCTTTGAGGAACAAAAATCATCCTTTGTGTACTCAACACCAAAAACTAAAATCATTGGGAAAAACCAAAGCCTTGCAACACAAAACCAGGTCCCCCTGTTTCCAGGGGTGAGCAAACCTTGTACCAGAAACCAGCATCTTTATCCTCTCTTTCCTGTAAACAAGTAAAAAAACAGCAAACTAATAGATTTGAGTTTTTTAGGTTTAAACACTTGAAATAATTTGAGAATCTTCTAGCCCTTTCTGGGCTTGCAGCATGTAGCTTTTTCAGCTTAAAATAAACTGGATCAGCTGAATAAACTGAAAAACCACCCAAGATTGTCCACTGATAAAATTCCCTTCTGAAATTTATGATTTGTGCCGCGTTTGTACAAATTTAAACTCTCAATGAAATAAAATTGAAATCCCTATCTTGCAACAAAATAAAAGTATTTTGGTTGTACATTGTCATCTATCATAAAACGTCTTGTGCTGTCAAAATACAGCAGAATCTTTTTACAACAAAGCATCTGGGAGCTTTGAAAAGCTTTGCTATAAGCAAACAATTGGTTAGAATGAAATTAAAATAAAATGAAGGCTATTGGACAGAGGGGCAAAAAAAGTTGTTGCAAACATCAATTTGTAATAATGAAATTTTTTGCAACAAGGTTCTACTGTACATCAAATTTTTCTTCAAATGTGCATTGCTTTGAGCTTGAAAAATCTTTAAGGCAAGTATAGCTGTCTCAGAACTCCTGGCATCGACTTATGATGAATGCTCATCTGATTTTGATGCAAATGAACACAGGAATAAACTTTGTTTCCAAATTTTAGGGATCTTTTCAAGGGCATTGCTCCCCTGGATCAAATGAACGCCCACTGGTGGAAGCTTAGAGAAGAAATTCAAGGCTTGAAAGCCCCAGTGACGAGGACGGAAGAGGATTTTGACCCAGGTNGCAAAATACCACGTAGCTTCCGGAAGTCAGTATGTGAAGTAAGTTCAAGGAATTCGATGCGTATGCTGGTGAAGTACAATATTCAGAATGAATATTACCAGTGTCTCTTGAATTTCTTCGGGAAGGTATTTCGTTAGCACGATAATTCAGTTTCAATTCTACGAGGCCCTTTGCAAAGTTGCAAAAGAATACGAACCAAACAATCCGAAGAAGCCCCTGCATCGTTGCGATTTCTACCAGAACCTCGACGCCGGAGACGTTTTCAGGTCAGAGAGAATAACAGACAAAAACATGTCTTTTTGAAAGAACTCACTTCAAAAAGAATGTTCAGAACATATTTACTCAACTGCCATATGAGGCGTTGTATGTAATACTTGCACCCTGATTTTGGGCCAATTCCTCGAAAGAAAAACCCTGCGTAAGACGCGCAAACCAGTGACAAAAGCATATACATCATTTTTTTTAATATTCAAAAAATAAAAAAAGCGGAATGCAACTTGAAATCAATCACGCTTTATTGGGTTTTGCTTCGCATTTAATTTTGCAGCTAATTCCATATCCCAGTTTATTTCATTTTCCATCAGTTTGGTTTGAGTCTAAGGACAGGTCTCTCTCTACAACGAAATGTAAGTGACTCAAAAAAATTTGCTCTGAAGAGGATTTTGCTGTAGGGAACCCTTATAAAATGGGGAGAAAATCCTGTGATACTAGAAATAAATTCGTTATACTGTACAGGAAAAATCGTTGTAGACAAGATTTGTTGTAGACAGTTGAGAGAGAGAGAGAGTTCACACACACACGTGTATATATTTTTCTCTTGTATCTAGTCTCAAACATCATTCATGTCAGATTTTCTAAATGTGAAGAACATGACAGATTTAAAAAAAAACATTGTACAAAATTGCCAGAAATCATTTCATGCTCGTGTATGAAGCGCGTCCCACTCTGAGTATAAATTTGGAGGAAAAAAGGTGCAAGTGATATTTGAGTAAACACAGTCTTTTAAATCTTCCAAATCTGTCCTTATCTATAAATAGGGAGGGTCTTCGACAAGGTTCTTCCTTACCCTGGCCAGACGTGATGGAAATAATTATCGGACAAAAAAGCATGACTGCAAAGCCCCTGAGGGCATACTTTTCTCTTCTAGAAAATTATCTGGAGAAGGAACTTACGGCTTTGGGCGAATGCATTGGCTGGGGACGTAAGTCGGATATATTTTTCGCGTTGTATTTTTTTTCTTTAATGATCAATGTCACCTCTTTTTCAGGTGATTGTCAATGATTTCTACAGATTTCGTCCTGCGAAAGACCTCGCACAATCGTCCAGGAGTTTAAGAACGGGAAAATTCCATCTATGAAGCTCAAGTTTAGAAGTTAACTTCTCTGATGCAGTTGATTTTTAAAAAGCCTAAAAAAATTAAATTTTTCGGCCGGAATACTACAAACAATAATGTATGAAATATCCTGAAACATAAAATTGTTAGAACCTATTGTTTTGGTGCCATTTTCCCCCAGATTTATTTGCTTTGATGTGTATCATGCACAATAAATTTAGTTTTTGCAATGTTCATATACAGTGGGCCTCAGCTTATATATGGAGGCTTAAACATGTTGAAAATTTTACTTATGGACACAAGCTCAAAGCCCTGTCCTGACATTTGAGAAATTTTCAATACGCATTAAAAACGTTTGTTTCCCTGTGATGAAAAGGAGTTTTTCTTGGGGGGAAAAAGGTCCCAAACATATTCTGTAAATAAATGAAATGTAAATCCCAGTTGAAGAGGGTTTTTCTTCGAAGGAAAACAGGAAACTAAGTCCGATTTATTTTGGAAACCTGAAACGTTGGAGCATTTTTGAACCTGACGCATACTTGAAATTTTTCCTGGGTGACCAAAACCTTCCGATGATAAACATTGGTCTCCATCAACAAAGATGCTTTTTTTCTTTAGAAAAAGACATGTGCAGTGAAATTTCATCAAGTAACCTCAATTTATTGCGCGTTAAATTGTTATATGCGTTACTCATTGCTCATCCCCATGGAAACGACGCTATATAATGACTAGACAAATTGATGGTGCAATTCAATGTTTTTTATCTCAAACCGGATCCAACGCAAAACGAAAACCTCCGACATCTTTTGAGTCCCGTGGAAGTTGAACCGCGTCATGCACAAGATTTCCTTGACCGGATGGAAATCAAAAGTAACAAAAATTGCCACGCCATCCAAGTTTCTGAATTTGCACTCAAGAGCAACATGACCGACGAATCCGAAGCCGAAATGGTGAGTAATTCTGTAACAATGTCCAATGTGGTTTTCAGGTATGTTTCTAGCAAGTCCAACAGTTTTGCTCAGTGGGTAGGACGCAGTAAGTTTAGATTCTTGGGAGAACTCCAGGTTCTTCAGTGAACGCTGTACAAATTTTATCTAAGGAAATTATCCTAGATGAGAAATTTACTTACTCCAAAAAGCAGAGATGCTAGTCTTTTCTAAAAAAAAGTGGTTTTTACAAGTAAAAAGAATATGCCCCAAGGATTCTTGATTTACAGTCCCTGTATAGCATTGTCACCAAATAAGAAAATAAATTGGATTGGCTTTGGGATCTCTTGCCATTCATCTCATGGGAGCAAAGCGCTACCCTCAGCTGTGACGGCTTGAGGGCTGAGTTGGAGCAAATTAAGGTGGAGACCCAACTAGCTGCAGAGCAGCTTGCGTCACAGAAAACCCAGCTCCATTGGATGGCGCAGGAAAGCGCCAAACTCCAAGAACAGCAGCGTCGGCTTGAGGCCCAAAAGTCGGTGGTCTCCTAGCTGGGTTGGCAAGAGTGAGAGGTCATTGCCCAAGCTGAGTCTAGCATGAGGCGTATTTTTATTTATTATGCGGGTCTGTTCCAGGGAGCTGTTTCCTGAATGCCGGAAATCTTCTTGGCTGATGGTGTAGGGTACACCAAAACTTTGAAAGGTAATTGGACAACAATAAATAAGTCCTTCTTTTTACTTCATTTCATCTGTATTTTTCCCCCCTCCTTGCTCTTCAGAGGGGAGTTTCAGTACCGTTAAGATCTGGCTGGTGGGGGAGACAAGGATCTTCTCAGGATCCACGGCAGCCCTTCTGGGCGATTGGGTCAAAAAGGGAAAAGATTATTTTTGCCTCCAGGCAAAAAACAAGGAGAGCCTGGTGCAGTGGCTGTTGGCCGTAAAGGTCCCCCAGGCCCCATCAAAGCAGGGCAGGGACAAAGAGTTGAGTGGGGATCCCAACCCCTTTGCTCCAAAAAGTCGTGCCTGTACATTGGGGGCGGTTCTGACACCGGCCGATCTTCCCGTCATTGATTTGGCGGTGGAGGACATCAATGAGGATTTGGATCCAGACATTGCCAAAATCCTGAACCCATGTATGTTAACTTTTAAATGGGTTTTTATAGGCGTTTCTCATTACTTCAATTTTTTATTTGCAGGGAGCGCAAATCATCCCTTTAAATACTCGTTGTTCAAGCCGGAGCAGCCTTACGTGTTCAAGCAGAATGCATTTAAAAGGCTTGGTTTGGCTCTGGAAAAGGTCTTAAAATTGTCCTCATTGGCTTTGCCCGTTCCTGACTGCTGTCCAGGACTACAAGTATGGGTGTCCTGAGTATCCCCACCAGGGGTTGGCTCTAAAAAACAATGAATTGTATCCCCATATCCTGATATTGGGGATGTTGCTGACAATTCCCTGGAGGCTAGCAAAGGGTTGCCATACCTTTTGCAATACCTTGCAGGCCAATTGCCCTGTAAACCTGGCTGTTTGTGACTTTGAGCATATTTTCAAAGGGCATCCTGTCAAGATCTTTCAGGTGAGAGGAGAGGAAAAAAATGTCTTTACCAAGTATTTTTCTTTATCAGTTTTTCTTTTTCTTTCTCTCCCCCCTTTTCTTTTCTAGTATTCCTTGAGTGGATGGGCCACTCTTGTTGGAGGGGATCAGGTTGTTACCCCAGAGGAGATGAAGGCCCAAGTTTATCAGGATTTAGATTTTCGTGAAGAGTTTAAGTTTACCCACATCTTTGTCAGAGTGGGTATGAATGATTTAAAAATCTGTCCAGTCCTGAAGCCCCAAGTTGTTATCCCAACTTTGGGTATTTTCTGACTGCCCTATATGGGTATTATTCCCACCTGTCTCATGGTTTTGAGGCAAAGGTTTTTGCTTTGGGGGCTTCAGCTCCTCCATACCTGCCTCCAGGGAGGACAACGTACTTGACCAAATCTTTTGATTTGGACAATCAAAGAATCCCCCTGATTCCCCTTCAGCATCAAGGGTGGAGGTATTTTACTCCAAAATCAAGGGAGAATGCCGCCCACGTTTTTCAACAAGCCTTATACAATGGGCTTTGATCAAAGATTGGACAAGTTCAAGGCAACGATGGATGCCCAGGATGGTGGGCAGTCCCAATGCCAATTAAGCCTCTCTCCTCATTTGACTGGTTTGAGAAGATGCTTTCTGCCTTTGGCCACATCTGCTCTTGGGCCTTCCTTCTTTTTGCTCAGCTTCATGCTGCAGGGATAAGTTTTGGTTTGGAGTGGAGTGGCTGCTCCTGTTTAACCTGGGGTGCCTACCCCTGCCCTGGCTCTTGCCCATTTTGGTTGCCAAATGGGACTGCAGCTCCGGGGATCCCCCTGGGCCTTCCTCATTCTCATTTTGGGGAAGAATCAATGAATCCTTGCCATAGGAGTAATGGCCCCTTCCATGTTAACCCCACTGTCAAGGGGGCAGGAGGAGATCCCTTCAAGGCATAGGTTTCACAAAAAATATTGAAATGGAATTGTCTTCTGATACCTATTTTATTTTTGTGTATTTTCAGAATGGAGAGTTCCCTGAAGGAGAGGAACTTCATGGAGGTATTCTTGGTGGAATTCCTTAACTTGGATCCCTGCCAGATTGCCAAAGGATGTCTCGTCATCAGCCCCCGTTTGCAGGGGTAGGGGCTCTTCCCTGACTCAACGTATTATCATCACAAAGTCAGGGAATGGTTTCTGGCTTGTGGGTGGTTGCTGAAGTGTCTATAGTGACGTGACCAATCTATGTTGCGCAGACTAATTTGCATTTTTCTTGATTGTGTATTATTTGTTTGTATTTCATGTGCATATATTTTTTGTAAAGAGCTTTGTAATTTTATATGCTAATACGACAATAAAATGACTGAAGCTTCTCAGTCTTTGTACAGACCTTTGGCTTTTCTTTGTAAAATTGGGCTAAATTCTGCACAAAGACTTTTCCCTTCTCCTCCAAGTCTGCCTCAAGAGGGATCAAATCTGAACACTTTGATTGGGTAAAATTGTTGTTTTAATTTTACTCCAGGCCTTGCCATCTCAATATCCACAGATTGCACAATGTCATCCCTATTGCTGTGGTGCAATTTAACAATGTGAGCTAATTTCCACTTAAGTCTATTGTAAGCAGTATCTCCTTTAAAAGTTGGTTTCTTTAAAAGGACCATCTGATCTAATTTTGGTTCAACACCAGATCCCCTCAATTTTTGTGTGTGTAATTTTTGCAATTCTCTAATATTGTAACATACAACTGACAGTGTAACATTCAAATACAATGTTATAATGCTGTTATTCCAATGTTATGAAACAAAAATCCCAAATGGAATTAGCAATGCAAAATGCCCTGAATAAGTGGGCCTGAATGGAGGAATGTCTTTCATTTTGGACAAGTTCTCAATTTTGAAATCCAGCATGTTTTTAGTATATTGCATCCACTATCATCCTCATCAGGTTCCATGTGGACATTATCACCACAATCATTGCCACAAGTGGTCTCCAGCATTCCAGATGAATCAGAGTTGTTATTAACCTGTTATAGAGCACTTGGTGGCCGTTTTGATGCAGTCTTAACATGAGCATAGCGCAATTTCTTTTGCATCAAACCCCAAATACCCAGTGCTTGCAAGTGGCATGAAGGCACATGTTTATGCAAGTGAATGGCAGTTCTCATGTCAACATTCTTGATTTCTATGATTTCCAAAATTCTGTCCTGCACCTTCTTTTTCACTGCAAAACCAACCTATGAGTCAGTACTTCAGCTTCATGTCCTGCACAAACTTCACATCTGAACACCTTGATGAATGGCCAATAATCATCAAGGTTTAGTATTTGATCAAAGTCAATCATGATAATGAATGAATCTGTGAAGTAAAAAAAATTCACTGTTGAAAAGTTCATCCTTCAAATAAACACCTTATAAAACAAGGAATGCAATGGAGTACTGATTTGAACAAAGAAACATTTCATTCTAAAAAAAAAGGCACTTCAACTTCATTGCAGCAGCAGAGAAAAAAGGCACTTCAACTTCATTGCAACAGCAGAGAAAAAAGGCACTTCAAATTGATCATCATCAGAAAAAAAGTATATACATGTACACATATAAACATTCAAACATATGCTCCATATTTCACGAAACAAAAAAGTGAAACATATGAAACTTGTAAAAAACAATTACATTCTTAATTCTTCCTTTTCTTCTTTACCACTTTGTTTTTCTTATTCAGGTACAGCTCCTTCAGCTGCTTACTTTCCTTGTAGTCAACAGCTGCTACTCCTTCATATGTACCCCTCTTCTTGGGGAATATCCATGGCCATAGGTCACTCCTGCACAGGTACACCATATTCAGCCAGTTGTCACCAAAACTCTGAGCATAGGTTGGATGAATCCATTTCCTTTCATTGAAGAAGTGTCCAAGCAATGTCTTCACATGAGTTTCATATGCCAAGTTTCATATGTATCTGCAATAATTATACCAAGAAAAACATTTTAAAAATATATGCTTCTATGAATCCTGAAAAGTTTGTAATTTACCCAACGTCTGACATCCTGTTGGACTTCTTGTCCACTTCTGTTAAATAGAGAACCAAAAGCAGCAGCCTCAGCAATGTGCATTTTCAGACTTTTCCCTATCATTCCAGTGTGGCTTTCTGCTTATTGCCACATTACTTTTGTCAGTAGTTTCAGGAAAAAAGTATCTGCATAAGAGAGGTCCAAAATAATATTTAATTTGTCATATATAAATATGCTAGTGATCTTTTTACCTTTTCTTGCTGCACGTGATGCATTCTTATCCCCAAAAATTATATCATCACAAAATGTGATGAATTCTGAGGTGGAATCAGTTGAAATCCTCCCAACAGCACAAAAAATTCAGCCAGCAGCTTCACTGGGGTACAATGCCTGAAGAAGGACATTGTAGATGATCCCCTTTCCTTTTGGTTCCTGGAGAAATTAGGAAACAAAAACTTGCATTATATTCAATAACATTGCTACAACAGTGGTTTTGCAGTTGGGTAAAAGTGTACAAAGAAATGCATATATGTCATTCAAATAATTATAACGTCACACACCTGCTGTCTGTTAAGTTTCTTGGATTGTCCCTTCTTCTCCAAGTAAACACTGTGGTTCTCCAGAACACATCTTGCAAAAGTCCAAATCCTGGATATCAACAGCAGCAGATCATCACACCTCATGAAAGGTCCAATGAGGTGGTTGTGGCTTGAAACCTTCTTCCCAAGCAGCACACAGGGAACAAGTTCCTTGTCCTGCAGTCAAAAAAATCACATAATAACAAGGTGTTTTATGCATATTGTCCTTCACTTGCCTCCCCTAAGGCAATGTTGACTTTTTCTTCTTCCTAGATGCCTTCCAAAGAATTCCCAGTGTATAAATTTGGAAATTCCAGTGCATCAAAAGACAGTGCACCTGGAACACAGTGCTTTGGGACCTTCCAATCCAGTTGAGTGTTGATGACAGACTTTTGGAAGTGCAATTTTATGAACCCTTCAT